TTTGCCTCATGCAGCAGCCTGCCACTTGGGCAGCTGGCATTTTGGTTTGGACAGGCTGGGGCTGGAGGAGTCAGCTGAGGGAAAAGCTCACTTCCAGTCTTCAGATTTGGGCAGCAGTGGGGAACGTCCAGCCCACAGGCTGTATAAGGCCCAAGAAATCATTTGGTCTGGCCCTTCCATCCCATTGTTGTTGTTAAGTACCATTGAGTCGGATTTGACTCACAGCAACCCTATTAATGTTTTTGAGAAGCAGGTGGTGGGTTTGAACTGCTAGCCTTGTGGTTCACAGTCTAGTGCTGATCCTACAGTGCCACACCAGCAGTCCGGCCATGACATTATTTTTGTGTGCCGTGGAGTCAATTCTGACTCATTGTGACCCTGTACAGGGTTTCCGAGGCTATAAATCTGTACAGGAGCAGAAAGACTCATCTTTCGTCTGCAGAACAGCTGGTCGTTTCAAACTGCTGACCATGAGATCAGCCCAATTCATATTAGAGGTGAGTTAATCCAATATGGCAGGATAATTTTTAAGTTGTTCATTTTGTATGGCCCGTGAATATTGGTAAAAAACAGGTTCCCTGCTTCTGATGGGAGGGATTGGGAGAGGCAAGTCCCTGACGGGCCCCTGAGGGTCCTATCCTCTGAGATGCTAGTTGACCATTGACTCTGTTGGTGCTGAAGACTGACAAATCATTAACCCCCTGGAATCTCTCCTTGCTAGACCTCACTTATGGTCATGAGTTCAGCCTTTGAACTGCAGACTGAAATTGTTTTTCCCACATTCTACCCAATCGGGTGTCCCTGCCTGGACTCTGCTATGGAGATTTTCCCTTGGGAGAGTGGGTGCAGAGGGGGCCGTGGGAAGTGAAGAGAGGAAGCCTTCGACGGCTGCTGCTGGAGGAGAAGGAGTCTGAGCCACCCTGGCGTCAGTGCTGAGGAGGTAAGGAAGGAACCTCCAGATGGGGAGGAGACAGGAAAGGAGCTCCAGTCTGGAGGAGGCTGAGTGGGAGCCGCTCCTGGCTGACCGCCCAGTTGTTTCCTTCCCCACATGACAGCTCTGCCAGCCTGGCTCCTGGCCACCGGGCAGGGACCCCGGCACATGACTCCCTGCCTGTCACATGTGGTCACCTTGGGTACCCCACAAGGGGTTGGGGAGAGGTCGGTCATCTTACCTCCCAGCCCAGAAGTCTCTGCTTGACTTGGTGCTGCTAGGTGGGGCCTCAGGGCTCTTTTCCAGGGGGATCTGGTGGTGGTCTAACCCAAATGCTCTCACCAGCTCCCCCTTTCCTGAGGAGAAAGCACAGTGAAAAATAGCAAGGCTTGGAGCCAAGAGGCCAACTTTGGGTCCTGACTCTACCTAAGAGATGTCACCTGGAACTCACATTTGCCAAGCCTCAGTTTTCTGTACCTGGCAAACAGGATAACTCTCCATCACCTCACAGTAAACTAGAGCCAAATGCAAGGGCTCTCTGCAAAAGTGAAGTTTCAGCTGCCTGTTGTTGCTAGTTGCCTTCAAGTGGACTCTGACTCATTGAAGGCCCATGTTTGCAAAGTAGAGCTGTGTTCCATATGGCTGTCACCAGACCTGTCTTTTAAGTAAATAATCTGGTTTTTGTCTCTGAAGCAATGTGTAAATATATATGTTAATGTATGTATTAAAGAGCTCTGATGGCACAGTGAATAAGTGCTCAGCTGCTAACTAACTGATTGGTGGTTTGAATCCACCAGCCACTCTGTAGGAGAAAGATGTGACAGCTGACTTCCATAAAGATTTACATTTGAATCTGATGGTGGCTGCAGTTCTCTTCTATCCTATAGCGTCACCAGGAGCTGGGATCCACTCAATGGTAATATGGTGGTGGTTTGTTTTTTTTTTTTAGCATGCATGTTTAAAAATGAGTTTTTTTTTTTTTTTTAAAGAGCTGTTTTTCATCTAACAACATATCGTGTGATCACGTTGCTTGATCCAGTGATGTGGCGCTGTGGCGGTTCTATGCCAGTCTGTCTTGTTGGACATACAGATTTCCAATTTTGAACTGTAAACTTTCCATGTCAGCCTTAGTGGGGAACTTCACTGTCTCTTTTTTTCACTTTTGAGAAAACCATACTTCCATGTTTCAGATCTCTTGCATCAGCTCACTCTTGATTCCCAAGAAATCACAAATCAAAAAATCCATGTTAGTCTTCTGAGCTTCTGGTGAAATGCTTATTTCTCCCTGGTCTTAGGTGGGCAGAAGCCACTGAATTAGCCCCTCCATCACGGTTGTAGCCACTAACAAGCCTCTAGGTCATTTGTTTGAAAATCCTACTGTTGTGTCCACTCTAGGATATGCAGATCTGTGTCAGCTGACTTGTATGTTGTAATGGGGTGTTTTTTCTCCTACAGATGAACATGAGAAAGCCCTAGGTTCTGAATCCTGTAGGAGGCAGTATGCATTCTACAGGAACTCAGCTGCAATCTTGGGCACTGTTGGCTGACCAATCTCAGAGCCAGCCATTTTCTTATTGAAGAGAAGGGCTTGGTTTTTACCCTAGGTAATATCTCCTTATCCCTGAGAAAGGACATGCTCTGTTATTTAGGACCACGTGTCTGCCAAAATTATGGCAGTCCTGTATTGGAATGGCATTCAGACTAGAAATAATGTATGTGTTCCACATTTATAAAATTCAAAGCATCAGTTACTCTCTGGGGTATTTTCCAAAGTGCTGCTTAATTTGTTTCCTTCTGACACCCTCCCTGAGAGAAAGGTTAAGTAGCTTCACCACCCGCTTCCACTAAAACAATGAGAGGTTAATTGAGTTGCCTTGGGCTGTAGAGTGAGGCAGCGGGATACGGAATAGCAGCTCTGGCTTTCCACTTCTAAGGCCCTGCAGAGCCTGCCTTGCCCTGGGAAGACCTTGCTAAAACCTCCCAACTAAGGAAGGGGCATCGTGACAGCCACTTTAGCCATATTCTTGCAAGTCCTGTTGGTTAACAAGGCAGTGGAAGAGCTGGCCTCTTCAAAGTCTAAGAACCTTGACCTAAAACTGCTTTTCTGCCTTGAGCTAAACTGTAGGAGTGATGAAGGGCAGAAATAAATTATTTTTGGCTCTGCTCCTCAGCCTTGGCAGAGAGCCCTTTAAATTTAAAATATAAAGCTGACATCTACAAAAGGTTTAGGAATCTGATGTCATTTCCCCCTACAATTTACATGCTGGTGTTTTCTACAGAGGCCCTCCTGATTATGCCTGATGCATGCAGTGCCTTTCTGTTACAGGAATCTGTATAATTAAAGTGCTCTAGAGTATGTAATAAGGACTATATTGTTGTTGTTAAGTGCCGTTGAGTCGATTCCGACTCATAACAACCCTGTATAGGATTTCTGAAAAGCAGCTGGTGAGTTTGAACCACAGACTTTGTGGTTCCAATCGACCTTTTGGTCCAGTGCTTGTATTACAGAGCCACACCAGGACTACACTGTTGTTAAGTGTCGTTAAGTCGCTTGACTCATAGTGACCCTGTAATAGGGTTTCTGAGGAGCAGCTGGGGAGCTTGAGCCATCAACCTTGCAGTTCAAATTGATCTAGCAGTCCAGTGCATTAGCCTGCTGCCACAGACAGCCTCTAATCTTGAGAATCCTTGTCTATCTTCTTCCTCAACATACTTACTAAAGCTCAGCTCTTTGTTCCCTGCAAAAGCAGCAGGTACTCATCACAAAACCAGGCTGATGCTGCTGGCAGTAAGTAAGAAGCTACGGTAGTCATGCGTCCATTATTCTTGTGTCTAGAACATATTCTTCATCTGGCTCCTTAAAAGTCCTGTCATAGCTAAATTCGCTGCAAGATTCCTGTGAGGAGGGCAAACTGTAATACAGGAAGGAAAACACTACTAAATCCTGTAGCGGTAAAATTGTTTTTATCCCTTCTCTGCTTCTGACAAGGAGCTCTGGTGATGCAGTGGTTAAGTGTTTGGCTGCCTACTAAAAGGTCGGTTTTTCGAACCTATCAGCTGCTATGTGGGAGATTGGAAAAGTCTATGGGAGCAGTTCTGTTCTGCCCTATAAGATTGCTATCAGTCAGAATCATCTCAAAGGCAATGTTTTCTACTGCTTACAAGGAGTCCTGGTGGCAAAATTATTAAGCATCAGCTTTAACTTAAAGGCTGGTGGTTCAAACTCACCCACCTGCTCTGTAGGAGACAGTCCAGGCCATCTGCTCCCATAAAGATTTCAGCCTGGAAAACCCTGTGAGTCCAGAGTCGTTCTACTCTGTTATGTCACTATGAGTTGAAATTAACTCGATGGTACCCAATAACAACTATTGCTGTTTAGAAGTCATACATCATTAGGTGAGTGATTCTGCTTTCTGAGCACCAAGTTTTCTCCACTGTAAAATGAGAAGACCTGTGGCACTGTGAGTTAATGCGCCAGACTGCAAAGCTGTTTGAACTATAAGGTCGGTAGTTCAAGCTCACCAGTTGCTCCTTGGAAACCCTATGCAGGGTCGCTATGGGTCAGAACTGACTCGACGGCACTTAACAACAAACCCATTAAGGGGCTACGGTAGTGTAGTGGATTATGAGCTGGGCTTCTAACTACAAGGTAAACAGTTCTAACATACTATCCACTCTGCAGGAGAAAGCTAAGGCTTTCCTGCTGCCGTAGGTTTACAGCCAGACTCCATGGCACATATCTACCTCCACCCTACAGTTAAATTATGTAAATATGCAAATGGAAATTCACTTCACAGAAACAGATCATTGTAGCCCAGGAGTGTTGGTAGTGTGGTCTCAGAATGACCCTCTCTGCCTGTTCACTTGGTTCTCTTTACTTTTTTTTTTTTTTGAAATGTAGGGTGGCACTGAGATCTGTCGTCTGTGGGGTTTAGAACATTTTATTGGACAATCCCATTGATTTTCATGATAGTCAAGGCCAGATGTGGATGGTAGGTGATGAAGGCAGACCTACATGACTGTTCTCTCTCTGTGTTTTATCTGGAGTAGGGCTTCTTGGTCTCCCCGGATGGAACAAGAAGATAAGCGGGGAGTGTGTGAAACCCAAGACTTGAAGGGCAAAGGAATGGGCTCCGATTTTGAGAATTCAGAGGACAGGGAAGGGGATCCAGAAGAAAAAGGGACACAGGACACAGATGAAAGAGAGGAGCACTCTGAGAAAGAGATGGGATCCAACTCACAGGATGAAGATTTACGGAAAGTCATAAAGGAGAGGGAAGTGGTGCCCAACACCTGCACAGGTGAGAAAAAACGATGGAGTCTCCGTGGCGCTGCCCCACTCACATTTACTTTTGGCTTCACTACTATTACTCAACAGTAGTTAACAACAACAACAACAACTATTATAAGCTGGGGCTGTGTTCATTGTTGAGGCGCTTTCTAGAGGATTCTTACTGTCTTCGTATTTCTAGTGTTAGGTCGGAGGAGAAGACTTTTCTTCAGCTCAGTCTGAGGTGGACTGTACTGATAAGCCTGGGTAGACATATCATGGGTATGTTGTTGTTACTGTTAAGTGCTGTTGAGTTGATGATTCCAACTCATAACAACCCTTTATAGGGTTTCTAAGGAGCGACTAAGGAGCTCTGGTAGTGCAGTGATTATGAGTTGGGCTGCTAACCTCAAGGTCAGCAGTTCAAAACTGCCAGCTGTTCTGTGGGAGAAAGATGAGGCTTTCTGCTCCTGTAAAGAGTTACAGCCTTGGAAACACTATACAGGGTTGCTATGAGTCAGAACCGACTCGACAGCACACTACCACCACCACCAAGGAGCGACTGATGAGCTTGAACCGCCAACCTTACAGTTCAAACTAACCTTGCAGTCCAGTGCATTAACTCGCAGTGCCACACTAGGATTTCAGTTCATGGGTGTAGCACTTTATAATATACGGAATACTACCACATAATGAACACTTGTTGTAATAGCTGATAAACCTGGTAGGATAAGCACCAGACTGTTAACCAGCAAGGTCAGCAGTTCAAATCCACCAGCTACTTAGAAACCCTATATCAGGGTGGCTATGAGTCAAAACCAACTTGACAGCATCTAATAGCAGTAACACTTTTAAGAGGGAACTGAGATAGAACCTACCTCATAGGGCTGCTGGGAGAGTTAAATGAATAGCTGTATAAAAGGTTTTTAAAAAGCCCACTGCCATTGCGTTGATTCAGACTCAAAATGACCCTATAGGAAAGGGTATGACTGCTCTATATGGCTTCTGAGACTGAATCTTTATGGGAGCAGACAACCTCATCTTTCTGCCACCAAGTGGCTGGTGGATTTGAACTGCTGACCTTGCAGTTAGTAGCCCAACACTTAACCCACTACACTAGGGCCCCTTATAATGGTTTCCGTAGCATTAAACCAAACCCACTGCTGTCGAGGAGTCAACTGTGATTCATAGCAAACCTACAGGACAGAGTTGGATTGCCCCACAGGGTTTCAGAGGCTGTAATCTCTACTAAAGCAGATTGCCACATCTTTCTCCCTTGGAATGGCTGCTAGCTTTGAAACTGCTGATCTTTTAGTTAGCAACCCCGTAGTAAGCAACTGTGCAACTCCTTTGTTGCTGTTGGTAAGTGCCGTCCAGTCAGTCTGGATTCATAATGACCCTGTGGAGAGTTTCCCAGGATCAGCTGGTGAGTTTGACCCACCGACCCTACAATTCAAACCGACCTTTCAGTCCAGTGCTTATCCTACAGCACCACACCAGGACTCCTTAGCAAGTCGGTTTGAACTGAAAGGTTGGCGGTTCAAGCTCACCAGCTGCTCCTCGGAAATCCTATACAGGGTCACTATGGGTTGGAATTGACTCCACGGCACTTTAACAACAACATGTGCTTGCTTTGTGCCTCTGTGTCACATTTTGGTAATTTTCACAATGTTGCAGAGTTTTTCATAATGCTATTATTGCTCCCAATAGATTGCAGTATAGTCTAAACATAACTTTTCTACCCTATGGGGAAAAGAAAATTCATGTGACTTGTCTTACCTTTTTTGCAGTGTTCTGGAATCAAACGGGCAGTATCTCCAGAGGCCATGCCTGTACTTTCAAGCAAACCATCAGCCAAGCCTTCAGATGGCTCTGTAGGGGAGCCTGGGATGCAGTGGGTGGGGCCAGGCTCTGAGGTAGAACAGGTGGGCGAAGAGGTTAAATCTGTTAACACAGATTTTTGTGTGCTCTCATTTCCACCTGGAGGAGAGGCTGGAATGTGCAGAAACCTCAGGGAGGGGTTGAGGATGTCTATTGTTGTTGTTAAGTACCATTGTCGAGTCCATTCCAACCCATAGCGACCCTGTATAGGGTTTCCTAGGAGCAGCTGGTGAGCCTGAACCACCCACCTTGCAGTTCAACCGGCTTTGTAGTCTGGCGCATTAACCCACAGCGCCACACTAGGGCTCCGAGGTTGCCTGAGAGAAAGGATTATTCCTTGGCCCCCATTCTTACTGGAATTGGTTTCCTATGGGTTTGCCTTTTGAGCGCCCAATACAGTAACCCCCAGTGACACCTTTTCTTTTTCAGGACAGCTGCTGGTTGAAGAAGGGATTGCTCTCCAGGAGGAAGAGGATAGCCAACCTGGTGTAGCTGACTTGCCGACGTTTCCAGGAATGTCTGAGACCGACAGCATATCCCGGAGTCCCCTGGAAGAGGAAGAGGAGAGTGTTGGGGAGAACCCGCTGGAGGAAGAAGAGGAGCAGCCGCCCCCTTCAGTTCTACCCTGGAGGCGGCACCTTTCCTTGGGGAGTAGGCAGCGGGGCGACAAGCTTGCTCACCGCCGCTTCCGCCGGCTCCATCATCCCGTGGCCATGGACCTGGGGGAGCTCGACAGCCTGGTGGCCAGCATCATGGAGGCGCCCACCATCTGCCCTGACTGTGGGGAGAGCTTCAGCCCTGGCACTGCCTTCTTGCAGCATCAGCGCATCCACCGCCTGGCTGAAGCGGCTGCAGCAGCGGGCCTGGAGTCCTTCGACTTTTCGGGAGAGTGCGGTGCTGTGGTGGGGATGATGGGAGTGGGCATGGCGGGGAGCTTCGGAGCGGGGCCCGCGCTAGCCCGGCCCCCGAGCGAGAAGCCCTTTCGCTGCGGAGAGTGCGGCAAAGGTTTCAGCCGTAACACGTACCTCACCAACCACCTGCGCCTGCACACGGGCGAGCGCCCTAACCAGTGCGCCGACTGCGGCAAGAGCTTCAGCTGGCGCGCCGACCTGCTCAAGCACAGGCGCCTGCACACGGGCGAGAAGCCCTATCCATGCCCGGAGTGCGGCGAGGCCTTCAGCCTCAGCTCGCACCTGCTGAGCCACCGGAGAGCGCACGCAGCAGCCAGCGGCGCGGGGGCGGCAGCGCTACGTCCATTCGCCTGCGGGGAGTGCGGCAAAGGCTTCGTGCGCCGCTCGCACCTGGCGAACCACCAGCGCATCCACACGGGCGAGAAACCGCATGGCTGCGGCGAGTGCGGCAAGCGCTTCAGCTGGCGCTCAGACCTGGTGAAGCACCAACGCGTGCACACGGGCGAGAAACCCTACATGTGCTCCGAGTGCGGCGAGACCTTTAGCGTGAGCTCGCACCTCTTCACGCACAAGCGCACGCACTCGGGCGAGCGGCCTTACGTATGCCGCGAATGCGGCAAGGGCTTCGGCCGCAACTCGCACCTGGTAAACCACCTGCGTGTGCACACGGGCGAAAAGCCATTCCGCTGCACCCAGTGCGAGAAGCGCTTCAGCGATTTCTCCACGCTCACGCAGCACCAGCGCACGCACACGGGCGAGAAGCCCTACACGTGCATCGAGTGTGGCAAAAGCTTCATCCAGAGCTCTCACCTGATCCGCCACCGCCGCATCCACACGGGCAACAAGCCGCACAAGTGTGCTGGCTGCGGCAAGGGCTTCCGCTACAAAACGCACCTCGCGCAGCACCAGAAGCTGCACCTGTGCTAGGGTCTGGAGCAAGAGGTCCTGGAGATAGAAGAAAGTGGGAGAGGAGCCGAGAGGGGTCATCAGGCAGTGACGGGGAGCCTTTTAGTGTTAAGGGGTGCTAAAGGGGAAGGTTGGAAAAGTTTTCTTATGGGGTACTGCATTTTGTGTGTCTCCTCTCCTCTGAAGACATATTGGGAAAATGTGCTTGAAGATTGATGACTTCCTCAAATCCGCAATAGGAGGGATGAAAAGGAACAGGCACTTTGAGGACCCTGATGAGGGAGCGTTGGGGACAGGAGGTAGAATGGAGTGAGTAGGCTATGAGAATCTAGGGAGAAGGCTCGTTTGAACGAGGGTTATGCGATACAGTCAAAGGCCCGTATACAGCGTTCTACTCTGGTACCATTGGGTATTTAAAGCCAATGCTTGCCCTGCCTGCCGGATTGGTTACGGTGTCAGTCGATAGGCGAGAATATTTTCCATATCCCCTTTCATTCGCATAGCCATGGTTAGCTGCTATTTTGAGCCATTCTCAGGAAACTTGGAGAGAAAACTACACACCCTCATTTCAAGGAAACAGCCTAGAAATTCATTCATAATTGGTTCTCAGAACTCCAGGGACATCCAAGGCTAGCTCCTGGTTCTTTGCTTCCGCTCTTTAAAATCCTCCAGTTTCATGCTGGGTCAAGGTGGTGTATGGGGAGCCCCAGCCCCAGCCCCCAGCCCCTGGTGTCAGCGTTGTGCAGGCCCAGTATTTCCTTCAAGGTCACTTGTGATCTTTTTATATGCAGAGAAGTGGGACAATCCCAGCTGTACGTGGTTTGCCCCAGTCCTAGGTCAGTTTGATGCTGTGATTCAAACCTCAGAGTCCTGCCAGAAAATCGACAGACGCAGAGAGTTTTGCTGGTCCTTTTGTAATAAATTCAGGAAAGCAAAATGGTCACATTTTGGGGTGTAAGGCTCCTCTGTCTCACTTACCTTCATTTTGCATGTGTGGGACCCCTCTTCCCATGGTTTACTAAGAGAGGAGCTACCCAAACTTCCACCGCCACTTACACTGACGTGGGATCTGGTCTGAGTAGCAATTTCTTTTTCCTGAATGTTGTGGAAGTGTAGTAGAGATCTCAAGGCTTTATACCAGGAGGGCCTGGTCAGGGAGAGGTGTTTAATGCAAAATTGCCAAATAGCACAAGCAATGAATGTGATATGAATGCCAAAAGAGCACTTTTATATTTGTAAAGTGCTTTATGCTTTTTTAAATGATTGTTAGTTGTTTGTCACATCTCTGTGAAGTAAACCAGTATTATGACCCCTGTCTCCTGGTAGGCTTAGGTTTACAGGAGTGCTTCAAGTTGTCCTGAAGAGAGGCTAACAGCTGTGTGAATTGGTGTGGTCTGACCTTTTGTGCTCTTCAGCTCAGCTACTGGAAAGACTTAACCTGCCATGATTTGTATGATAACATAAGGATACTGACAATGTTGATGCTTAATGAAAACACTTTAAGGCTAGTCTACAAGGACCAAAGATGTCCTCCTTGACAAAGCTGGCCTTTGTCTCATAATTAGGGTGTTAGCAATGGTCCATTTATAGTTAGATTCTTCTTGTTAGATTTCAGTAACCTGTGCTGAGAATCCCTCCCCTAGGTTAGCCCTTAGAAGTTAAGGTTGTGGAAAGTAGTTTTCTCTTCACTAGCGATGGTTACCCTGTACCTTTCCTGGAAGCATCTTCACAAACTGTTGAACACCTTTGCAGAGTTTTAAAATTCAGTAAAAGCTACAAGATTATTATTACCACTTGCAACTTCTTACAGAGTTTCTGTGGATGCTGATAATTTCCACTTAATCAGTTGTATTCTAGCAAAGAAACTCTTTGGGGACTGTAAGAAAGCATGGTTTTTTTTTGCCATTGTAAAAAGAGTTTTTAAAAAAAATCCTGAGAATTCTAGGCTTGTACAATGCCTGTTGATCTTGCCCTCTGAATCAGTTTATTGCTATTCACAAATGCAAATTGCTTTTAAAAGTATAGACACTAATTCTTTTTTTTTTTTTTTAGTCAGGAGTAACACAAGCAAATGTTTACCCTGAGTTTTGTTATCGGAATACTAAATATGCGAGAATCAACCTTAACATAGGCAGTACGTAGGTAACATTCTTTAATTTTTCCATGCACATCTACCTCTTCCAGCTGTTTCCAGTTGTCTGTACCTGTAAAATCGTATCCAACTTTTCATTGTTCACTTTATGGCTTATTTGGCCTTTTGATGCGCGTTTTTATACTCTTGCACAGTCTCATTTGCATCAACTATGTTACATATCAGCCACTTCAGAGAAAGGATTCTATCTGGATAGAAGATAATGTAAACTAATTAAGTGGCAATGGAAATCCTTGAATTTCATTTATTTACCTCTCTCTTGATTTTCACTTACAAAGAGACTCGCTGTTAACTCCTTCAGTTTCCCTTCCATGAGCCAATCCCTTATATGGAGGGAGTAGTTCCTCCACCAACACCCCACTCACATGGTGCATTTTTCTTTACAATTCTTCAGAGCACATATCTGCATTCAGTGAGAGTTAAATGTATTCAAGAGACTGCTTCTTGAATCTAGTTTTAGAATGATAGTATTTCTTTAGCAAACCCTGTTAACTGTGGTTCACCCTTGAAAATGTTCATCTGTTTGGAAGAGCCCTTCTGCCATCTCATTAATGGTTATGAAAGCGCAAATGTAGTATGTGTGTCGGGGAAGTTTGATCAAAGGCAGACTTCCCCTACTACCCTTTACTGAGCAAACCTGGAGCAGTAGAAATAGGCTAAAATGTTTAACTAAATAAATCTTGAACTTTGAGTTGAAAGGAGAAGAAAAGAGGTTAACCCTTGAGCCATGTGGTCTCTTCAAGATCAAGAGGCTGTATGCATATGTGAAAAAGTACAAATTAAGAACCTGTGTTCAAAGACAATCTGAACTCTGTTTCTGAAGTTTGTGCATATTTTGCTTCACTGTAATGTTTCACAGCTGTTTGTTAAACTAGTGAATAATTTAATGATCCTAAAAGTACCAGATTTTGTGTGAGTGTGTGCTTATGTCCATGAGACTTGCCTTATTTTCAAGTGGTTTTATTTAATGATTTCATGATGGTTCCTTGGACAACATTCTGATGTCCAGCAACCAATATGGACTATTTGGCATTAAATTCATATCAATCTTTTACCATGTCATTCTCTTTTTCTTATTTTTTGTCAATTAGATGTCACCCAGTTCAATGTATGGAAGTTATATTCTGGTAGAACAGGGGTTGGGAAACTACCAATTCCAGCCTGCCTTGGCTTTGTAAATCAAATTTTATTGGAACACAGCATTATTCATACAGCTGTTTACATGTAGCTGCTTGATTACTAACTGAATGGTTGGCAGTTTGAACTCATCCAACAGACACCTCAGAAGAAACGCCTGATGTTTTAATTCTGAAAGATCAGCTATTGGATGGAGTACAATTCTACCCTGACACACACAAGATTTCCATGCGTCAGAATTGACTCTACTTTCATATTACAATGACATAGTTGAGTGACAGAGACTGATAGCCCACACATTTTTAAATGCTTACTGTACTGCCTGGCCCTTACCAGAAAATGTTTGTTGACCCTGGTGCTAGAATGTTCAGATGGATCCTAGATCAGCCTGGAATTGTCTAAATGGTCTCCATATTCTAACCAGGAACTCATTGCAACACTTCGGTACTGATTTGGCTTAGGGATATTGGGAATGTGTCGATATTACAGGATTGGTATTGCTTTCCAAAGATCAGGGCCTTCATTTCTTGTAAGGGTTAATCTGTGGGGAATAAACAGGTGTTGGTGGTGGGGGGAGATAGTTTGAAGAAAGGAGTCAGTTGTAGGCCTGGTCTCTAATCTCTTTTTAAAAAAAATGTGATCCTGAATCACAAACAAAGTATTTTCTTTCTCCAAGTTCTCGGAAATGTAACCTAGTAACTACTGATAATACTGAAAGGAACTTGTACCAGCTAGACCGGCCCTTTGCTCAAAATATTTTTTGAACTCATCCCTGTCCAAATTCTTGGAAACAGTGGGACCACAGTTACTAAGGAAAAGATTCTAAAGAAATAGAAAGAGGAAGAGAGGCACCTATTTCCTTTAAATAATCACGACTTTCTCCCCATCTGAAAATCCCCAATCCCTTAGAGCCATGGGAATGCTGTTCCTGTACTGGGAGACCTGGTGTCACAACAGTTAAGAGCTTGCCTGCTAACCTAAAGGTTGGAGGTTCAAAGCCACCCAGTGGCTCTGGGGAAAAGATCTGTTGATATTCTGCAAAGATTATAGCCAAGTAAACTCTATGGGACAGTTCCACTATGTCAATTAGCATCACTATTAATTTAATCAACTCAATGCCACCCAATCAACAACAACAAACTGAATGGAGGAGTTAGAGTGCTGGGGCCACATCATTCTTCCCCAAACCTGACTTTTCTGAAGCATCTACCAGAGACTAGCTCGTGGTCATTCATTTATTCCAGGAAAACTACACTGAAGTATAGTTAAAGTAAAACTATTAAATATAGTTTAAATTACGGTATATTTATATACTGCAATATCAAAACCTATTTCTATCTAACCAATTCTGTTGCAGTATTCTGATAGGACAGAGTAGAACTGCTGCATAGGGATTCCAAGGTTGCAAATCTTTACAGAAGCAGACTGCCACATCTTTTTCCTGAGGACAGGCTGGTGGATTCAAACCACCGACCTCTAGAGTAGCAGCCTTATGCTTAGTTCACTATGCCACCAGGAGTCTTTCAAACCATCGAGTCAATTCTGACTCATAATAACCCTATACATCTTTGCAGGAGCAGACAGCCTCATGTTTCTCCTGCAAATTGGCTGCTGGGCTTGAACCACCGACCTTGTGTTTCGCTGTCCAGTACTTTTCCTACAGAACCACTACACTCAGTTAAATTGTATTGTTCTTGTTCTTAGTTGAGCCCGTTGATGGTGACACTTTGCC